GATTCCAGGATTTTGGGTTTGAGGCGCTGCTGCGCCCTTGCATGGGCTCCGTTCGGTCTAATATTTGGCACAGAGTCTACCTAAGACTAGTACTTTGAAAATACGAAACATTTAGCAAAATCCAGGTGGGGCCGGAAAAGGCCCAAAACGTTACTCCTCCTTTCACGCTGGAACTAAATTTTCACACCAAAAGATTAATTTTTCAGCGAGAAAAAAATTTCGGTCCGGGCACTAGGGCTCATTAAGGAGGGATGAAGGGTGCCCATTGTTCCTACCCTCACAATGGACCGGTTGCCGGCCTATGGTCGCTGAACAAAAGAAGGTGTCCGGAGAGCGGTCTGGTCACCCGCGCTTGAGACTGATTTGTTGCCATTTACAGATTTTAATGCCGAATAAAAAGTCTCAGGTGTTCAAAACTATGGTGTTCATTTACACAGCCATTCAAAAGACACAAAACCAGTCTCCCAGCAAAGGCCCCACTGAGCAGCAACCTACAGATGATTTATCTACATAGTTATGATCTAACTATAGCTGCAAATATAATAAAAATAGTACAATAGTACACATTGTATTCTTTTCAGTGATGCCTCAAAATTTTGAATGCAATGAACAAATAACCAATTCATTCGTTTTTTCTGTCTGTTTCAGCCTGGTGATAACGAGGGTGACCCACCCAAACAAGTTGGTAACAAGACTGAATGTGCTCTATTAGGTTTCGTTCTTGCTTTGAAGAAAGATTATCAAACGTGGCGGGATGATATCCCGGAAGAGAAGTTGACGAGAGTGTACACGTTCAATTCAGTTCGAAAATCTATGAGCACAGTAATTCCGCTCAAAGGTGGAGGCTTCAGGCTTTTCACAAAGGGTGCCTCAGAAATAGTTCTTAAAAAGTAAGTCAATGAGCATCAGTGATTACTTTTTTTAAAGTTCCTTGAATCAGTTCGGGAGGCTGATTTGTTAAGATGTAGTACCTCTTTACAGGGTGACTTTAATTGTCATAGCCTTCTCTGGTAATGTTATTTGTCAATCGGGGTTGCTTGATAAACTGATGAAGTAAAATGAGGAAATTTAGCTGAAGAATCAAAACTTAGTTATGACTTAAAGCCATATCCCGAGTAACATTTTTCGACGGAAAAATCGCGATATATTGCAATTTTATCAGTCAATCAACAGTAATGAAACCATGTGAATTTCTTAAAAAATTGCTTCAATGGAAGACACTCTACCTGCCTGAAGATAAAATATGTATTTTAATGCACAGTTAATTTTAGTGAGAAAATGTGATATTCCTCTCTAAACTTAATTATACGCCAATGGTAGAAAATGGATTTTTAGGAAAGCGAGTTTTTTTCTTTTTTAAACTTGTTTCATAGAAAATGTTAAAAAAGTCTTTTTGATCGTTCTTCTCCTACTAATGATCAAAATTTGACAAAAACTATTAAATTTTAATCAGTCTGTAATTAATCGAAAAAATCAACTCAAAATCAGAAGTATTAAATTTATTGCTGTCAAAAAAATAGTTGTGTTAATGTAATTTACGCAAAATTTCCATCCCTAATCTATCTTTAACTATTGGTTTCAAATAAATTTTGTCAAATGTTTTTCTCAAGAATGTATGATTCAGTGTCGTCATGAGCCCTTCGTAACTTTTTTTTCCCTATCGCAGATGTGCTTTCATCTATGGAAGAGATGGCAACCTCGAAAAATTCACACGAGACATGCAGGACCGACTGGTGAACCGTGTCATTGAACCGATGGCAGGTGACGGTCTTCGGACCATCTCAATCGCGTACCGCGATTTCGTGCCTGGCAAAGCAGAAATCAACCAGGTTCACATCGATCAAGAGCCCAATTGGGATGATGAAGACTACGTAGTAAGCAATTTGACCTGCCTGTGTGTCGTCGGTATTGAAGATCCAGTCCGTCCTGAGGTTAGTTATTGTTTCTACCACCCTTTGAATCAAAATGAAAGAGCTAAAAGTTCGCCAAGAAAATTCATAAAGCAAAGACGCAGGGTTGCCACAGTCAGGGAATACCAGGAAAACCGGGAAATGTTAGGGAATTTTAAAGTCATGAAAAACCTGGAAATGTCAGGGAAAATGATGAAAGTGTCGGGTAAAATTATTAAGTCACCTTTATTTGCTTTCTAGATTGGGTTTGATGTTTCGCACAAAAAAATTTTGCCTGAAAACCATTTCAAATTATGTCTTTTTACCACCTGGCATATCTTCAATTGTCAGGGACTTTCACCAAAGTGTGTCGGGAAATTTCATTTTCTAAATTCTGTGGATGCCTCGGGTTATGAGAGGCTTGCTTTTAGAGGATAACCAAATTATCATTATTGAAAATAAGTGAATAAATAAATACATTTAAAAAACGGTTTTCCGAAAAGAAAAGTGAGTCAATAACATTTCAGTATTGGCAAATATTGCCAACCGAAAATTGAAGTCATGTATGACAACATCGGTGTAAAATCTCAGGAGCTAAAAGATGTTATCAAATATTTAATTTTTTTTACCCACTTACTTAATCATCATCGTCTTTCAACAAAATTTATCACTGCGCAGGTACCAGAAGCGATTAGGAAGTGTCAGCGAGCTGGCATTACTGTGCGCATGGTCACCGGAGACAACATTAAGACTGCAGGATCAATCGCAACCAAGTGCGGGATTCTGAAACCGGGAGAAGATATGCTTATTTTAGAAGGCAAAGAATTCAACGCAAGAATCCGTGATGCCAATGGAGAAGTAAGTTCCTTCCAATTTAACCTAATCTCGTTGTTGTATGCAAAGTATCATAAGCGCCAAGTCAAGACTCTAATTTTAATTTGAAGTAGGAAAAATGAGCTATGGCTCAAGTTACCCCTCAAATTTGACATTTACAGAGTTTACAAAGCCTCAGAAAGTCCTTTAATATAATTGATTATGGGAATCTTCCCTGAGCATTATGAAAGTCCTTGGAATTTCATCATCGGACCATTGTGTAATCAATAATGGTAATCTTTTATGAATGAAAACAGGCTTGAAATGCCTAACTTTCCCAGTTTAAGTTGCTCTATTTTTCAGGAGTGTTTTTTGCAACAGCTAACCAAAAGCCGCAAGCAATTTAGTGAAAGCTCCCTCCTCAATTTTGTAAGCCGGTCCAAGATTCCGTCCAAGTACCAACTAATAACTCAGTCAGAGTTTTGAGGGAAAAATCAGTCCTAACTTTGTTTCATTGTGGGCTAGAAATTTTTAATCTTACAGAATTTAATATGAGTGTCAATAGCGTATGATTCACTTACCATTTGAAACTTTTTATTTTAGGTTCAGCAACATTTACTAGACAAAGTGTGGCCTAAATTAAGGGTACTTGCACGATCGTCGCCAACAGACAAGTACACGCTAGTGAAAGGTATCATTGACAGTAAAATCAGTGACTGCCGAGAAGTCGTTGCCGTCACAGGTGACGGGACCAATGATGGTCCTGCCTTAAAGAAGGCTGATGTCGGTTTTGCTATGGTACGTAGTTTCATAAATTCACAGCTTTTAAAATGAGAAAAAGTCCAATTTCATTCCTCAGTTATAACTCCGATGCAAGTATTAGAATTTTTGAAAAAGAAAAAAAAGAGAAATGGACCCTTACAAAGTCAGCTATATATCTACACAGATCACACAAAATTATGCGCAAAAATCACCTACGACTCAGCCTCAATTATTCACTTCATTTCCCTTTATTTCTCCAAAATTTTGTTCATACAGTGGAGCCCGTATATAACGAACCCGCTTTTAACGAAGTTTCGGATATAACGAAGTAATTTTCATTCCCCTAGAACCTCCCTATACACTCAATAATAAAAAAGCCCGCTTTTAACGAAGTCTCGGCGGCGGCACCTCGCATATAACGAAGTAATTTGCCGCCATTTCCGCTATTGTGTTCGGTATTTTCTGCTCTCTGGGCGAGTTCCGCTCGCTTGCGGTAAAACATGTGACAGTCGCGGAGTCACGAAGTTACGAATAAAAGAGAATGAGCGATAACGAAGTGAGCGCTCACTGCGCAGCTCGCCGCGCATGTCTCACACTGCACTCTCTCACACTTGCACAGGTCTGCGATGGAGGGGAGGGGGGAGTCCGGCAAATCGGCACGCTGCCGGACTTTCCGTGAGACGCGGACACACTTGCACGCGTCTGCGATGGAAGGGAGGGGGGAGATTTTCCGTGAGAGAGTGCGGTGTGAGACATGCGCGGCGGGCTGCGCAGTGAGCGCTCACTTCGTTATCGCTCATTCTCTTTTATTCGTAACTTCGTTACTCCGCGACTGTCACATGTTTTACCGCAAGCGAGCGGAACTCGCCCAGAGAGCAGATTGTGTATTTTTGATCAAAATATACAAGTATTGAATCTGTATATTTGCAATTTTTTTTGTGTAATTTTTCCCGAATTTTCCCGCAGAGTCCGCTTTTAACGAAGTTCCGGATATAACGAAGTTTTTCTGGGAACCGTGAACTTCGTTATATACGGGCTCCACTGTATACAGTTTTGTGACCAATGCACTTTTTGATAATGGGGAATGGATGAGGAGAGGGTACCTTGGGAAAATTTCCGCAAATAAAGAATAAAATAAGTATATAACTATGGGTCCAGCATCAAGTTAATAAAGTCTTACCTCCTTCAAGAGTTCAGTAAATTGCAGTTTTAATGAAAGTGAGATTTTTAAAATTTGCACTCTTATACTTCTGTCATTTTCTCGGAATTTTAGTCTCCCATATATCAGCTTTAGGAGAATTTTTTTTACTTTTGTTCAGCAGGGCTGAACATTTTTTCTCCCAAGTTTTAAGGAGATCCTGATCCTAACAGAAGCTAATAATTGCAATTTTTTCCCATTTTCACATCAGTGTGATGCACTGTAGAGTCGCAAAAACTATGTCAATACTCACTCAAACGTAAGTCGATATCAATGTTGCGGATGTGTTTTGTCAGTTCTACACTCAAGTATCCTCAGTGCGACTCATGAGTCTTTAACGGCCAACTTCAAGGAGACATTCTGAGGAAGCTGGAGAGTAGATTAGGCGAAACGTGTCTGCGATATCGATATCAATTCGCACACAAGTGAGAATTTACAGAGATTTTCAAATTTTTCTTATGCGATTCTCTTTAATTATTTAATGAATGTAGAGTTTGTAAAGACACACATCTCTGTCATTAAGAAACTGACATCTGAAAAAATCATATTCTTTCTAGCTAGTCTGTAAAATTCAATGATTCCTGATTGATATTCCTATCTCAATGTTGCCTTGTTTTGCATTAATTTTTGTTGTTGTTAGATACAGATCTATAACTGCTCTTTCTCCTTTCCCAGGGTATTGCGGGTACTGACGTCGCAAAAGAAGCATCAGATATTATTCTGACGGATGATAACTTCAGTAGTATAGTAAAGGCTGTTATGTGGGGTAGAAATGTGTATGATAGTATTGCTAAGTTCCTTCAATTTCAACTCACAGTTAATGTTGTTGCTGTCATAGTAGCTTTTATTGGAGCGTGTGCTGTTCAAGACAGTCCCCTGAAGGTAAGTCGCTTTCATCGTCCATTCTGTTGGTTTTTTCTCTGAGTCTATACATATTCTGGATGAGGAAACAGATCTCATCTTTAAGTTTAACCCTGTATAGTGGCCCATCAAAAAAAAAATGTAAAATCTGAGAAAATATCAGCGCTTTCTACATATTTAAACCGAGTCTCAATCTCACTCCCAGAGTGGAAATCAGGATGAAATTTTTCATTTCACTCCTTAGATCTTTTGCTGTGACTCAATGAGACTTCTTTTTCATAAGTCTAACTTTTAATTTGTATTTTTTTCAGGCTGTGCAAATGTTATGGGTGAATTTAATTATGGATACATTAGCTTCCTTAGCTTTAGCAACTGAAATGCCAACGCCTGACTTATTACTACGAAAGCCTTACGGGCGGACGAAACCGCTTATTTCTAGAACTATGATGAAGAATATTTTAGGACAAGCTGTTTATCAGCTGACTATTGTCTTTGCTTTACTATTTTATGGTATGTATTCACATTTTGAAAACACTATACCATAGCACTAATTAAACAGAAATACAAGTTTAGTAATTTTCTGGGAAATATGTTAGCAATTGATAAATAACTTCTCTCAGGTCAAAGTAAACATCTTTTGTCAATTGCATCAGACCAAAGCAGTCAAAGTAACCAGCATTTTTAAGGGCTAGTTAAGGGCTGCTATGCAATAAAAATGAACAAACAGCAAGTTACTAAATTGAAAAAAGGGTGACTGAATAAATAATATAAAATACGCTATACTACCCAAAATTAATGAAAATTGCTGTGTTTTCGGCCCCCTAGTTTCCTCTGTAAGGCTAAATTTCAGCTGGATCCAAGTAATTTTTAATTCTGATGTGAGTTAAAATGTCTTTATGGTAAAGAGACTGTAGGGCTTCATTGCAGGATCGTTTTTTAATGGAAAAAATTCTTTGTGTCAGGTTCAGTTTTCTATTTCTCCAGCATTTGTCTTTGCATGGACCGTGCCAAAGTTTCACTCAAGATATGTCTAATTTATTTCCTAATTTTCAGGTGATATATTCCTTGACATCCCTACTGGACGCAGAGCTGAATTCGGCTCAGAGCCTACTCAACATTTCACTGTCATTTTTAACACTTTTGTCATGATGACACTCTTTAATGAAATTAATGCCAGAAAAATTCATGGCCAACGTAATGTATTCGAAGGATTTTTCACAAATCCCATTTTTTACTCTATATGGATTAGTACTGTTATTAGTCAGGTAAGTCAATCTTATCATCTGCCTCTCTTTTTCATAGCTTTACTCCAATCAAAAAATTCAACCTTTCAACTAGAATGCACAATTAGTAAACCACTAGATAGCTTAATTATTTTGACACCTAGTCTGAAAGACAACCAATGAGTGAGTTAAGTTCGGAAGATTGACTCTTTAAAAGCTATTTTTCATAGTTTTTAATACTAGTGAAAAAGAAGAACACTTAAAATTTACCATAAAATCATTGTATGAATAATACCTACTTTATTTTAGACCGCAAAAATGTATTAGTTATTTGGCATCAGTCTTGAGCAATTCCTAACAAAAGCAGAAAACTTGATATCAGTTCAAAGAGTATGTAGAAGACTTGGCATAGTGCAAATTCTTTTTACTTCTTTTTCATTCTCTGTTTCTTCACTCCTAATCAATGTTTTCTTTTGTTTGAAGGTTGTCATTATTCAATTTGGTGGAACAGCGTTTTCAACGAAAAGCTTAACGCTGGATCAATGGCTGTGGTGCCTTTTCTTCGGATTTGGCACGTTAATTTGGGGTCAAATTGTTACAACTGTTCCTACAAGAAAACTCCCAAAAATACTCTCGTAAGTACTTTGAATCTTGTTTCAGTAAACTTTGGTTTTGTGCAAAGGTTGAATTTACGAAAATGAAAATTGTTTGGTTCTCATCTATGACTTGAAAGTCCAAATTTTCAGAAAGTTGACTGAGTCACTTTATTTTTAGTACTATTTCGATGAGAGAAAATGTAATGTGATGCATCATTTCTCACTTTGTCCAGCATTCCATTCATGTATTGTAACAAGAGGTATGAATTCGTCCTTATCATGGTTTTTTTACATTGCCCCTAATGCCTGTGTTCAGTAACTGAGGAAATCATCTTAAGCAGGATTCTGCCTTATCTGTATGAATAGCTCAACTTTTGCGGTAATTTCTTCTTTAAGCTGCCTTCTCTAAGTTAATCGAAATTATTTAAATCTGTGTAGGTGGGGTCGAGGACATCCAGAAGAGTACTGTGAAGCAATTCACTTGGGTGAAGAGAAATATGACCCGGATACGGACAAAAAACCGCGTGCCGGACAAATTTTGTGGATTAGGGGCCTTACGCGTCTTCAAACGCAGGTATGTAGAATTCCTTGACCTTCCGAAGTGATATTGCCTCTTTTCAAGATTCAACATTAGTCTGGTGCCTTTTACCTCAATTTGATATGAATGCGCATTTTTAAACAATATTGGTTGACACTGCTTCTCAATAATTACATCTAATCTAATTCAAACGTGATCTAAGTCAACCAGTTGTGTCAACTTTGGAATTTTAGAAGCTATTGAAAGTAAATTTAATTATAGTCAAAACACTGTACTTATCGTCTCCAAAACAATTTGATGTTTGTGCGTAGTTCTTCAAAAATGGACTGATTCCTGAAGAGTCATTTAAATTCCTGTTCATGCTCTGTCATTTCTATAATTCAAAATCAACAGGAAACTGTGAAATCCCAGAGTACTTGATTTTTTTCCTGCCAATAGTTTTATCATAGTTAATTAACCGAATGAAAATGCGTATTCATAATCTGAATTAATTTTTCAAGTCTTTGAATGCTGTTACCGTTGTTGAAGTGCATTTACTTAAAGTTTATTTATAGCAATGAACTTGATAATAATTATTTTATTCTCTTTATCATTGTGATTTCTTTATCGATAAGGAAGTTTAAAATCATCGATTTGGAAGTATAGAACTGGACAAAGAAAATCAAATTGCGAACACTCTATTATTAATTTAATATTTTATAGGAATTATGTTGGAATCATAACCACTAGTCAAAGAACACTAAAATTGCACATGTTTATTAGTTTCTTCAATTTCCTTCCTCCTTTTATTTTAGTGATTAAAGCCTCTTTCAGTTCTTCAACTGGATGTTGCCTTATTCGTAATTTTATTTTCTCAGAAAATTAGGGTTTCGTCACTGATTTCTTTTTTTTCTCTCATGCAAGTAACCAGTTGATGAGTGCAATCCGTTTTCAGGCTTTTTGCTATTCCGACAGTGCGTAGAATTAATCAATTTTACACTGCAGCATAACTTGTTTTGAAATGAATATTTCAGCCAGTAAAACAACATTACCAAGATTGTGCTCGTCAAATGGCATGACTTCTTTTTTTTCTCTTTTTTTTCTTTTTCTTTTTTTTTAATTTATTTATTTCATTTTATTTTTTTAAAAAAATTACTCCCATTCAAAGTTCTACATTTTACCAAGAGAAGCATTTCAATGCAATGTTTAGCTCTTCTTTTCTTTGTACCTTTTCAAAGGAATGAAATAACTCATCAAGCATCGTAATTTTAGATTTTTCAGACTCTTACAGTCTATTCAAAGTGAACAAGAAAATTGTGCAATTTCAAATCTTCTGCTTCAAATCTCAAATCTTTTTCTCGTAAATCCACCTGTGCTTAAGTAATACTGGTGTGGATGTGCATGTGTGCATTCGTACACATGCTTACATTCGCTCTTTCTTTACATTGGGTTATTTTATCTCTCTATTCATTTTCTGTTTATTTTATCTCTTTCTTCATGTGCTATTCTGGGTTATTGCGCTATATGCCGTACAGAATCGACGTGCATTGGGGCTGTCTAATTTTTTCTATGTCTCTCTAAGTTTTTTTATTTTTGTTTTTCTCTTGTTTATTACTATTATTATTATTACAAATCAATTTATTTTTCTTGACTTATTTTGTGTAAACTGACCTAGGATAATTTCTCGTTGTTAGTTGCTTTTTTAAAATATTTATAATTTTGTCAATATTGCTTCTCTACTCTCTGCAGTAGTACTATCTATTCCTCAACTGCCATCGTCTATTTTTCCACAATATTTATTCTTATGATATCTCATTCCTCTTCATTCTTTGACAGAATCATTCTTTCACCCTTGACTTTTTTCCACGTTTCATGAGAGTACCCTCACTGCGTTTATGCCTGTTAAATTTGTAAATTGAATCGTTTTTATGAGCTCTCCAGCCCTAATGGGACAAATTACAAGAAACGGGTCAACATTTCCATCCGTCATCATCAATCAATAATTATCTGTGTCGCCAAATGCTGTTCAACAACACTGGGAACTTACTGATCGGGATTTTTGGATGCTGTGCACGAAAAATTATCTAAGTGGAAGCTCACAAAATTTTCACCAGAAAATGAGAGCTAGGGTGGTGGAACGCACATAATGCATTATTCCCAAACCTAAATTTTCTATTCTCTGAAAAGGTATCCTATCCTGGCAGGTTTTTACAAGCTATCCCCTATCCATTTCAATCCTCCTTCTTAATTCTCTTTCGCTCCTCTTGCTCATTTTGTAGGGTATTCTGAGTTTTATCAACAATTATTTGTTATTTTAATGAGATGATTCTATTGCAATAGAACGGGAAAGTATAAAATAGACACTTGAAACACACTTTTCAAAATAATTTGAAACTAGAGGAGAGAAAAACCAATTTTAAAGATCTGGCTCCTCCTTCCCTTTCTCTGAACAAAAAGTTCGAAAAATATTTTTTAAGGTAGCAGTGCCTAGAAAGGGGTCAGTGTGAAAGTTTTGCATTATTCGCACAAGAGAAGTAAAGGATAATGTGCCGTCATCTGAAAGTGAGAAATTTTTAAAATGGGGAGTCGATTAAAAAAAAAAAAAAAAAAAAAAAAAAAAAAAAAAAACGAACAGAGAGGCTAAAAATTTTCTGCTTCTTGATCCAATAAACAGAATATTTGCTGTTGAAGCTTCAAGGAAACATTGCATTTTATCCCCTCCTGTTTGCCCTGATGGGTATAGAAATTTTATCTTCATATTATACTCTGATTGAAGGAGTCTTTCAAAAATTCTCTCCAATCTCAAGGCTCTCTCTTCTCAAAGTTCTTTCTCTTTTCCTGTAGGTCTCTACTGACTTTTCTTTCCTCAGTGATACACTCTGTTCATCAGACAGCTCTGTCTTCTTCAGGATGACTTTTAGTCCTCTGTGTTTCAACACTTTCTTCTTACCATTAAATATTGAATTTTAATTTTTATTTTGCATGCATTTAGAATCAAGGGTTGGGAAATGGGGCACTGGTACTACAATTTGCATTATATGTTACTAATTTCATTCATCTGAGACCAAATTGTTTTCCCTGCATTGGGAAAAATTATCTCGGCTTCTCTCCTGTACTTACTTTTTTTGAAGTTCTGCAAGACTCCTGTTCCATTGTAATGACCTCAAGAGTTTATTTCATGCTGATATTCTTGCACAGCGTAAATGATTTGGTGCACTTGCATTGCTGGTGGGTCAGCTCAACTGAATCTCTTTCAAGATACTTTGAAATATTGAACTTCATTCTTTGATCATGACTTAGACCCAAGAAAAATAATTCAATAATAAATTCCCCTTGGGAACTCACCGAACTCTTTGTTTGCAATGTTGAGCAAAATTTTCACAGAGGCCAATCCCATTTTTCTCCCAAGCCATACTGTGCAGTGAAGATAAGTTTGGTCTTTGGCATTTTCTATCTTGTCATTAAGAACCTACATTGCAAAGTTGACTCTCTTTTTTTCTTACTCATTTCAAAAACAAAGCTGCCAACCATTTCTTTTGTTATATCAACGAATTGGTTTAACGAATTTCGTGCACATCCTTTACTCAGTCTCTTTGATCATGTTTGTCTGAAATGTTGACCACTAAACCTAACAGAAGAGATACAAATCAGTGTAATGGCTTTGTCTATTACTCCTTTCTGGAAGCTTCAAGCTCTCTTAGGTTTAGATTGGCTTTCTAAAAAAAAGCGAGAAGTCATGAACTATATTGCAATCATTACATGGTGATTGCAACTACAGTCTATGTCACAAAAATTGGCAGCTGAAAGATGGAGTCAGGTGAGCAGCTTGATATATTTCTTAAGGGTTAATTGGCTTAGACGAGCTTCAGTCCTTTGAATGTGCCAATATACCTGTGTTTCAACCCTTAAAAAATACTCCAAGCCAGTCACTAACTCTGCTCCTAGCTGTCACTTTTTGTGTCGTACTCTGTATTATAAGTCAAAGTGCCCAGTGTGATTTCTTCCCTTGTCTAACAGTGAAGTTTAAGTGCCCATGACTATAAAATAGGCTTCACCCTGCATTGGACATTTTTGACGTACTTGAATTATCATCCTCTTGAAACAAAACCTTTTCTGCTTTCTTTTACTGTAATCATAGTGTTATCCAATTTTGCAAAATAGGTTCAATGACAATTTTTGTCTGTTGGAGGATGCTTCAGGAACTGGCGAAAATTGAACTGCAACTTTTATTCTCAGCTCACCATACAACTAAATTGCAATATCTGTATTGCACAGTCTCTAAATTTGTGCTTTTCTTTTGAGAAGTTTAAAAAAAAGCCTCCACAGAGTATTAAAAAATCACTTTCTACCTTTTTTGTGATCTAAGGAAAATGAGTGAGGAGATCAGAAGCCTCTCTGTGTTGATGGAGTAGATAAACAACTGATCAGTTTGGATTATTTTTTCTCCAAGTGAGTGGTCATTTTTTCAATTTTCAATTTTTGCATTGAGCGTTGGTACCTACAGTTTTCCTGTTGAAGCTCCAACGGAAAGATTCCTACTAAATGATGTAGCCCGGAGTCTCTGACCGGAGCCCATAAGAATATATTAAGCTAACCTAGTCTTGAAAATAAGCACTCGGTCAAGCAAACACTGCAAAAGTTTAATTTTCCCCATTGAAGCAAAAATTGTATTAATTAATATGTACTGGGTTAATGTTCAGTGCATTTGCTAGCTGTAGTGAATGCACTCATTCCAATACAATTCTACAAAGTAGTTCCAAAAGACACTCATTAGATTCTTGCAGCATCCTCCAAAGGTATGTTCACACAGGCCGGCAGGTCAACCAAAAGTATGGTTAGGTGCAGGCTGCCTGTCGGTTGTGCGTGAGCAACTTCATTCCTCCGCAGGTGATTTTATTTATCTTTTTATTTTTTCCTGTCGCTCACTGGTGGGGCACATCATAATTTTCTACCATTCTCATTAACCATTAAATTTTTTCAGCTGCTTTGATGCAAGTGGTGGTTAACAGATTAGAACGGTGATGGTGGTGATGGTTGGGGGTTACGGACTACTACTT